GTTATAAGCATGTATCTGTTCAGTTGTACGACAATATACAGAACAAATGTGTGAGAAATATTTTTTTTGTAAATGTTGTTTCAAATATTCTCAGAGAACAATATTCTTGTAATAAACATTCGTTTGTTAGTATATGCATTTATGCCATAATAAATAATTAATCGTTTGTAAATTCATAAAAAAGTTTGTTTGTTTTTTTTTTTTTTTTTTTTTTGTTGTTGTTTTTTTTTTTTTTTTAAGTTTGCTGAATAAATTTATTAAATGTCTAATTTAAAACGCAGGATGTGCCGAAGTATTATCTATGGAATTTATTATATTAGGAATGTGAATATGTCAAATATTTTAGAATATCATGATTAAGAATACGATTTTCTGTTGATTCTTATATGTACAATGTTTATAAAAATTTAAAAAACTAAATAATTGTTAACAATGAATGCATATATCACGCCTTTTTAGTTACATATCAATTACACGGTTTCCCATTTGTTAATATATACTCAATTGGCTCGAAGTTTGTAATATTGAATTTATTTTGGTGTTTCCAATCAGCTCGTCTTCAATCGTGATGTAACTTATATTATGGATGATACAGTATCAGCTAGTGATGATCATATTTATGATCAACATGAATATCCTAAGGATTATGCACATGATTATGAAGATTTCGGGTTAGCTGATCATGATTCTCTACATAATATGGATTTCAAATATCCGATACTAGCGATCTAAATTTAGGTGAATTTACTTTATAAGTTTTTATACTTCCATATTTTATAATAATAATGTTGATATTTTATATTGTTTTTTGCAATATGGCCTAACTTGCACTTGAAAAGATGAGCATCCATTAGAACATATTCAAGATTAGATGTATGACAATTTCGAATATCATTTCGGTGATTGTAGTAGTCATAAAGAGGCAGAAAACGAACTCGAGTTCAATGATAATGAGGCAAATTATAATATAGACAATGATAACATTGATTTTCAGAAAGTTTAGTATATAAATAAGTAAAATTTTTAATAAAATAGATTAATTATTTGTCTGTTTTTTAATTTTTTTCGCCTGGTGGATCATCTTATAGACGATGTAGAACAATCTCATGTTACACATGATTATGTTTCGCCTGGTGGATCGTCTTATTGGATTCCTGTTGTTTCAGACCACATCAAACCTAAAATCAATTCAATTTTTGATTCATACAAAGCAACATTATCAATGTACTATAATTACGCATCATTAGCAGGCTTTGATGTCAGACTTGGACCTATTAGAACCACTGAATCCGGCATTATAAGATAATGACAATTGCTATGCAATCGGGAAGGTAAACCAAGAACAACTAAAGTGGATACTTTAGACCCTCAAAATAATAAGATCCAGAGATGGAAAGACTCATTTAGGTGCGAATGCAAAACCAAAATGGTTTTTATTCTAGCACATGGTACTAATAAATATATTGTTGCTCAATTTGTCGAACAACACAATCATAAGTTGTTTGGTAAGGACAATATGTTTTTGTCTCGTACAAGAGGAAACTTGATTATTCACAGGAGATCTTTATTCACAATTTGTCAAAGCAAAATATTGGTGCCTCAAGAGCACATAGATTGTATACTGGACTTCAGGGTGGTTCTGACATTCGCGGTGGGTTGGTTTCTGATTTCAAGAACAGTACTAGAAATCTCAATTCTTACACAGATTCCAGGGATGCAAAATTCCTTGTAAGGAAGATGCTGGAAAGGAAAAAAAGTATACCAAGTTTTTCTTTTAATTTTAAAGTTGTTGAGAAAAAATTGAATGCTGTTTTTTGGGCTGACGAAACCTCAAAGTACAACTACAATGCTTTTGGAGACGTTGTTTCTCTTGATGCCACATTCAGCTTGAATAAGTATTCTTACATTCTGCAATGTTTTCACATATGTTTTCTTGCTTCCAGTAACACATAATTTTTTTTCTTTTAAAACAGATATGATATGGTTTTCGTACCTTTCATTGGGATAGATAATCATAAGAAATGTGTGACTTTTGGTGCTGGACTTTTGAGTAGAGAAGATGGTAGTTCTTACTCTTGGATGCTTACAACATTTTTGAAAGCATTCAAAAAATATCCTACGCTTGTTCTTACAGATCAAGATTCAGCTTTAACCAAGGCTATTAATAAAGTATTTCCAATGTCTGCACACAGGTTTCGTATGTGGCATATTACAAAAAACTTCCAAACAAGGTGTATATTTTTTTTTATATTCAAAACAATGTCAATATGTTTACCTTGTTAGTGCATTCAAATGATATGACTGAAGTGCATTCAAAAGGTGTATTCTGATAGAATATGTCAATATGTTTACCTTCCAAACAAGGTGTATATTTTTTTTTATATTCAAAACAATGTCAATCAGAATTTAATTTTTCTCAGAACCAATGATATGACTGAACTGCATTCCAAAGGTGTATTCTGATAGAATAAAAGCTAAATTCTGCAAGAATTCATCTATACACCATTCGTACCCTTCATTCATTTTTTAACACATTTATACATTTTATACCAATATATATTTTTTATTTTTTTCAGATAACATCTGAACTAGCCACAAACTCAGCTTTTCGAAAGCGTTTTCACTCCATAATTTGGAATTCTAAGCTAGAACCACATGTTTTTGAAAAGGAATGGAAATCTTGTTTATGAGTTTAACATTTCAAATAACAAGTGGATGCGAGAGATGTATGGGTTGCGTAGACGTTGGGTACCTGCATTCTTCAAGGACATACCGATGTCTAGTCTTATGAGAACTACATCATTATCAGAAGGCCAAAATTGGTCGTTTTAGAACAACACCCTTATCGGTTCTTATCTTTTAATGTTTATGATCGCATTTGAGGGTGTTATGGAACGCCAAAGGCGTAATCAATTTGTAAACAACTTTAACACTGCTACAACAGTTCCTAGATTAATCACATCTATTCCAATTGAACCACATGCTTCAAAAGTCTACACTCGTAAAATTTTCTACCAGGTTTAGAAAGAGATTTCTGATTCCGACAAAACTTGTTTCTAGATGAGTGTTACTTCTAATAATGGTGTTGACACTATTATTATTTTGGAGAAGCAAAAGAACATAACAACAAGGCAACCATCAAGTCCTATTGTTGATGACAAAGTTGAGGAATACCATTACGATTCTCTTACAGATGATACCCAATACATGGTACGTTATTTCATTACCACCGCATACTTATTTGTTTTAATCAAACAACAACAATTTATAACTAAAACTCTTATTTTATCATACATATTCCAGGTTACACACTCAAACCTGCATGCATTTTGAACATGTCGGTCTTTTGTGTAGGCACATATTCTATGTATTTAAGTACTACAGTAATGAACAGATTCCTGAAGAATACACTATGAGACGGTGGCGTCAGGATGTTGTTCGAACAGAATTGCTTAAAAGGCGTTTTTCTAATTCTTTACTAGACTCTAACTCTGACATGACGGTTATTGAAATTTTCTAAAATGTAGATCGTTGTGTTTCATTTTTAAGCCATGATGCATCGAAGTTAAAGTCATATCTTGAAGAGTTGAATAAGTTGAAGAAAAAATTGTTAGATGATTGTCCAGCCCCTAAGATGCCATCAAGAGAATCATTCTACAACCAGATTATAGGCGTACAATTAACTAATGATGCTCCCGATATTGACAACCCATCGGATATTCGTAATAAGGGAACTGGCAGTCGTGGTAAGAGATTAAAATCAAAGAAAGAAATGCTGGAAAAAGCATGTTCAAAGCCTAAGCGAAAGTGTGCTTTATGTAAACAGCTGGTTAACCATGATAAATGTAACTGTCCTCTTAAAAAACGTGACTAAGTAGTATGTTTTACATGTAGTTTTTGTTTTAATTTTATGTTACTCTAAAACTTTTTCGTTCCCCAATAACTTCATTTATTGATTACAAATTTCATAGTCTTTAATATAATTATCATATATTTGTATATGCATTCCACTTTACATATATTCTTTCATAAATTCACAACCATTTCGATTTTTACATATATTGTTATATGTATTCTACCAGAATATATTGTTATATGCATTCCACTTTACATATATTCTACCAGCATACATTGTTATATGAATTCCGCTTTACATGTATTGTTACATGCATTCCACTTTACATATATTCTACCAGAATATATTGTACCAATAATTATAACATTTTTTACCCACGATTAAAGTGTACACCAACTAGTATCAAACTTCCACAACAAATGCATATAATAATTACATTATCGGAAAACAAAACTTAGCTGTATTTGATTCTTAGATTATAACATTTGATTCCACAACAAATGCATATAACAATTCTACTAGAATATATTCTACAGATAATTATAACATTTTTTACCCACGATTAATGTGTACACTAACTAGTATCAAACTTCCATAACAAATGCATATAATACTTACATTCTTGGAAAACAAAACTTACATGTATTTGATTCTTAGATTATAACATTTGATTCCACAACAAATGCATATAATAATTCTACCAGAATATATGGTACAAATAATTATAACATTTTTTACCCACGATTAATGTGTACACTAACTAGTATCAAACTTCCACAACAAATGTATATAATAATTACATTCTTGGAAAACAAATACTATCTTTTACCAAAAAAAATATAAAACTAGTAGAGCAAATATCATTCACATTCAACTATCTCCCGAGAACACATTAACATACTTTACCAAGCCTAATATCTATAACAAAATAAACCATTATACCCAAAGTCATTCAACATAAACCATCCTACCATTGATAAACAATTTCCCCAAAACGAACAATACTAAAACAAAATAAAGGAACATAACATACTTCAATTCCTAAAAACATAGACTTAAACCAAACATAATAACAATAGTCTTTCAACACAGACTATCCTAACATCATAAAATGCCCATCTTAAAATCGACGCCTTCCACGTCTCTACTTCTCCCTGATTTCTTTCACTTCATTCATCACATCCAATTTCTGCAATGTATCGAGCCTCTCATACTCTTCTACATCTTTCTCCAACATACTTTTATGCTTGTTGTACTCCGATTTCATAAGTCTTACCATGTATTTGATTCTTATATTATTTAAAGCAACTACATCACTCTGTTTTTTTTCCTGTAAAACCGCAATCCCAATTCCCTTCAATTTCCCCCATATATGACTCAATGTGCCTCATAAGATATACTCCATAGTATGATCCTTCTTTCTCTACTTTCCATGGCATTTTCATTACACAAGCTTTAAATTTGTTAAAAGTTGTTGACTTTTGGTAATTCTCTGTTTTTAAATAATTCCCAAGCCATTTTTTCTACGATACAATACAATCAATTAACAATACACTAATAAACTCATGTTTTTTAAATATTATAAAAAATAAAACTGAATCATACCACACGAACGTGTTTTATTCCATAGATGTCCTCAACAACACCATTTCGGTTCACATGGTCTATCATGTAGTAAGTTGGAACCCTTAGATCAAAGCATATCGTATAATATTTACTCTTATCAACTATTGGGAAGAAAACCTGGCATAAAACAAATTTTATAGCAATAAGCTAATTTGGTATGTTAGGGTTGTAATCGATAAAAAACAATAGTTAATTAAATTACCAGTCCAACATCTTTAAGCTTTTCCGGTTTTGGTAGACTTTTAAGGTGTAGTATCAACATTGAATCAAACAATTTTTGAGTTCTATCAGATGACATTGATCCACCCAATATCTGTGACAACCCCAAATATATTGTCGTTACAAACCCTATTTTCACTAACGGAATGCGTCACTATATGTTATTTCTCGGTATTGTCTGGGTCGTCAATAAACAAATATCTAGTTAATTACATGTTCCGGTATTATCATAAGTAATTATAACTTGTAAATGTTAACCCCGTTTAACTAAATAGAGTTATATTACTTTTCGACCACTTCACCCGGGTAAAAAGTTTTAACCCCGTTAAACTTTAGCATCGGGTAGCCGTGTATCGGGTACAATACCCGAGACATATAAAAATGATTGAACACTACAATTGAACTCTTTTACCACACTTTCACCTCTCTCTCACTACTTTCTCTCTCTAGACCCGAAATCGACCCCAAATCCGCGAATTTCCGACTTCCAAACGTAAGGACTCATTCCCTATCTTAATCTAAACATACTTTACTGCAATTAGAGTCCAAAATCATAGAAAACAAGGAACAAAATGGAGTTTACGGCCTAAGAAGCCCCTTAGGCCGTAAACCCCCAAAATCATGCCAAAGACCTTGTTTTTCCTTATTAAATCTCATGGACTAATTAAGGCATAAACCTAGGGGAGTTTGGACACTAAAACACAAAGAATTGAAGCTTAAAAAGGAGTTTACGGCCCAAGCTTGTGCTTAGGCCGTAAACACCTCAAACACCCCAAAAACCCTTGTTTAAAGTCCTAAAAACTCATCTAGGGTGTTTGGTAAATTAGACTTGACAACAAGGAAGGCTTAAATGCATCAAACAACATCATTTGATGGCAAAAAGAGGAGTTTACGGCCAAGGCTAAGCTTGGGCCGTAAACACCCATGTTTTTGTGTCAAACAAGTCCCAAAACCCCTCAAATGCATGTAAGGAATTTAGCTAAGGCCTTTGGAGGGGTGTTGTACCATTAAACTTCCCATTTTGAGGCCAAATGAAGACTTTACGGCCAAGGATATTCTTGGGCCGTAAACTCCCCAAATTTCATGCCAAATTGTCCCAAAACTCATTGTAAGGCCTTCTAGGATTTATCTAAGGTGAATGAGAACATGTTGTACCATTTAAACACCCATCTTGAAGGATTTAATGGAGTTTACGGCCCAAGAACAAGTCTTGGCCGTAAACTCCCCAAAATGTCACAAAACAAGAGTTTAATCCCTCCATATTGGTCCAAGACACATGCCATTAAAGTAAGGAAGTGAAATAAAGCCTTAAACAAGCAATTTGGAAGACCACATGAGCTTACGGCCAAGCCTAGGGGGCTTACGGCCGTAAACTCCCAAGGAGTGGCCTTTAGGCCGTAAACTCCAAGGGAGTGAGCTCATGGACCCTTCCGTAAACCCTCCTTAGCCTTAAACCACTCCCGGGAACCCCTTCTAGGCCCTAAAACCCCGAATTGATGCTAGAATGCCTCAATACTTAAACGGAAAGCATAAAATGATTAATTTATTGTAAAACACATATTTTCATATGACATTAGGGTCCTAAAGGTGTACAAGTCATTATTTGGAACAAAACGCTCAACCGACACTTTTACCCGATTTACCCGGTTCACCCGATTTACGCGATTTCAGGTGAGTTCATACCCCTTTAATGAACCTTTCAAATGTTTTATATGTTTTAGGGGGGAGATACAAGTTGAATATACATGTTTATGAAAAGTTATACAAGATAATTTTTCAGATTACAGAATTAATCACATGTGATTCACAACCTGTAGTTCGAATCACATGTGATTTATCACTATGCTTTACAAATAAATCAATTTTTTCAAACTATCTTGGATAAACAAAAAAGTTTTAAATGTTTCTTTCGTACAACACTTTTGTTTAATAAAACTCCTTATAAGAATGTAACCATACTAATATATTTATATAAGTAAGACTTGAAGGACTTAGGACCGATAGCTCACCTTATTTCCTGTTTCTTGTTTGATTGTGGGCTTAGGGTAGTGGTTATCCGTCCGACTGTCATTGATTTCTTAGTTATATATCTCGTATATTAGTACGGATTACGAGTACTTCTTATTTCATTAGATGCCTAAATCACTAACCTAACTAGAACCATACACACTAATTTAACTATAATAGGTATAGTTAAGGACTCTATCCCTTGTTTTAACTACTACTCTACACTACTATAATTCTCTCTATTATGAAGAAATACACTAATAAGAGAATACAATACAAGTTATACAAAAGACTACTACACTATAATACAAGAGAATGTACTAATTATGAGATAATTCATTAATCCACTACGGGATACTTTATACGCTACACACTACGCCCGGAGTTTTCCGATAGGAAGACGACACTATATGTATAGATCTATACGGGGCAGACGCTATTACATCCCGACTGATAACTTCAGTCCGAGCCGCTCAGGTCCAGGGATGCCTTTACTCTACTACACTATGTATGACAGGGAAGGTCATGGTGGTCCGCTATTACCCACACTATTGGTAACATACAAGGAAAGACACTATAACCGCACTAAAATACTAAAAGAAAGATGAAGTAATATCCCGAAGTAAATAAGTATCTAATACTAAAGGATGCTGCAACACTATTATGTACTCCAAGAATAACTCACTATATTGCCTTACTTATGGTGAGTCACTATTACACTTCTACGATAAATGGCTTTCAAAGATAGAATCAATATACTTCTTAAAGATTTTATTTACTATACAGTTCTGGAAAATATAGGATTTTCTAGGTTTTACTACTTACTTATGATTACAAACTTCAGTTTTCATACTAATGATTCAATGCTTTTTATACAAGAACTCACACTAAACTCTTATGAACTCACCAGCTTTATGCTGATATTCTTTTCAAAATAACTTGTATCTTCAGGTCAAAGATAGACAGGTACAACTGCAGCATTTTTGGAGAAGATGGAATATGCAAGACCCATCTCTTATTTTTGTTTACTTTTGGTGTTTGTCAAACATTACAAAACACACTTGTAAATACACTTACTATGTAAATGAAATGGTTGTATGTTTCTTGCTTTTACTATTATACAATGTGATGATACTGTACACTACGTCATCCACCCCGAAACGTATTCCGCCGTTATCGGTTTTGGGGTGTGACAGATTGGTATCAGAGCATTGTTTATAGTGAATCAAGTATATCAACCTATAAAAGATATACGAACTATAAACACTTCGGGACTAAAACACTCTGACCAAGAATATATACTGTTAAGTATCTAAAGATTTAACTAAGTATATATATACACACATCACTATAAAACACAGAAGTCAGTATCATCCTAGAACAAAACAAAGTATTAAGATTATAGCACAATTGGGCTTAGAGACATATAGTCACATTTAGGGGGATGTAGCCTGATCAACTACGTTTTCCTGGGAGTGACTAGCATGTGCCTAAGCTTGGTTGTGGTGTTACAACAAGTCTAAAACTTACCAACACTACCACAATAACGTTAACATTAGAATACTATAGGAGTATTCGTACCTCTAAAATACATCTGTGAGAACTAAAAAGGGTCGTTACTGATGGAGCAATAGTTGCTAAATGGATACTTTCCGGTTACATGTGACTAGGGCGTTATAGACTTAGAATCTGTGATCTTTGCTTTACTTCCTGTTCCTTGTTTGGTTGTGGATTTAGAGTTAGGGTCACTTATTCGACGGACTATCCTGCCCCAGTCACATGTAATTAGTATGCATTATGCAAGTATTGGTCCAACTCGTGACGACCATCTTATAAGTAATTTAGGTTAGTGCGCCTATTAATCTTCTTTTCCCTTTTTCTCGCATAGATACCATGGCTGGCTTCCACCCTCCTGGCGACCCGTACTACCCAAACCAGGGTAATGGGGATGGCTCAGTGAAGAGTCGGACGATGATCACCCAATCCCTTTGGATGACCACCGAGCAGAAGGCTTTCCGGATAACTCCGACTCCGAGCCAGAAGTTAATAACCTACCTCCCGGAGTTCCGAACCCCAACCCCCGTCCGACATTTCAGGGCCCACTCCTATGTGGGCCATATCCTTGCACAGATGGAGCGAAGAGCAGGGTCAGCCCATGCCATACAATGGAGACCGAAGTTTCTACAACATAAACGAAGGAGGATCAGCAGATCGGGTTCTGCCCATCATGATCCGAAGGATTTAGGAATGTCGAGCAAGGTCAAGCTACAATAGGTCGAGTTGTGGAGTGGATGCCAACTCAA